GAAATAGATTTCCTCCTTCACCTTCATCCACTAAAGGAAGGTTACGTACTGCTCTCTTTATAGAGTTGAAGCTTAAAGCTATCCATGTCTTTTCCAGTAGAACATTAGCAAAACATACACATGTGAACTGTCCAATCTTCTGGTTCACACATTCAGGAGTCCAGTTAGAATTCTAGAGGTGAAGAAAACAAATATTTCCATCAAGATAAAAATAGAATGAATATGTCCTGTTTCCTTGGTTAGAAATCAATAATATTCCCAAATATCCACATATTCAAGTGTCCAGTTTGTGTGCAGTTTGCTGACATAAGCTTCTGCTAGAAATTAAAAAGAATTTATTTGCTCTTCCCTGAAAAAAATATCAGAATATCTTGACTCGGAAACCTTTCAACACTTTGAATGAAGTTCAAAGGAGAAGGACAGACATAGCTAAAATATGTGTATGTTCAAAAATGTGCACAGAAGACTTTAATTAATAGACAAAAACATATGTACATTTGAGGGGGATAAACATACAAAATATGGAAACATTTCTGCCTTTAAGCCCCTCCTCTTTTCAATTGGGGTAGAATGAAAATGCCAGTGGTATTTCTGCAAAAAGCAACATGAATGAGACTACAAATGACCACAACTGTAGTTTCTATGTAAATAATTAATATCCCTCATTTTCCAGGGTACAAACCAGAAATGTGGAGTGCATGCACAAATATAGCTCCTAGATACCCAGAGCATATGAAGTGACTGGAACTCCACCTTCCCTTTTCACACATTAATTTATTTTCAAATGAACATCTGAGCAAAGCTGGAAAAGAACTAGCCACAGCAGTCATACGGTCATCCTTCCCAGCTATGCAAACAAGCAAAAAAAGTGAAAGCTGTAAAGCATGCAGTCCTTTCTGAGTCCATTATGCTGAAGCTCTGTTTCCTACAGTTGTTGCATCAGTGGGTTATCTTACTTCAACTGTTGGTTTTGAAAGTTTACACATGCTTCCCTAACAGGAGTTGATAAAAGTACTATCCTTTTTTCTGCATTGTGTCTCTCTCTACTGGATGCCATTGTAAACTACAAAGTTCTTCTCTTTTTCTGTTGCCCTTTCCTTCCCTCCCTGCCACTATAGGCCAGTTTATGCCAATATAAACTCTAGGGACCTCATCACACTAGGAGCCCCCAGTGGCATAGTGGGTTAAACTCCTGTGCCGGCAGGACTGAAGACCGATAGGTCGCAGGTTTGAATCCAGGAAGAGTGCGAATGAGCTCCCTCTATCAGCTCCAGCTCCTCATGCGGGGACATGAGAGAAGTCTCCCACAAGGATGATTAAACATCAAAACATCCAGGTGTTCCCTGGGCAACATCCTTGCAGATGGCCAATTCTCTCACATCAGAAGCGACTTGCAGTTTCTCAAGTCACTCCTGACATGACAAAAAAAAATCACACTAGAGAATGAATCCACTTTAAATCCAGTTGCTGCCTCCTGCAGAATTCTGGGGTTTGTAGTTTAGGGAGGAGCCTTTAACAGCCTCACTAAACTACAAGCCCCAGAATTCTGCAGGATTTAAAGTGGATTCATTCTCTAATGTGATGAAGTAGTAAGAAAATAACCATTGATCCACATCCTAGCAACTTGCACAAGGGGACAGAATCTAGATCTACACATCACTTCCATGCAAGCAACACACATCTTCAGAGCAAAGGCATTTTGAGTACCAGGTATCTTTAGATAAACTCCAGGGCTGCAAGGTTAAGTGGGAAATAGAAATCCAATGACCCCTAGCTAGGTAAGTGAGCTTAATGATTTGCTTCTGCCATATGTACACAGTGGAGCTGAGCATACCCCCTTCTGAGCTTTGCCGGAAAGGGAGAAAACAAGCCACTACAATTACGGTACCATGCATTTTAAAATGGAAGAAGATAAATAAGCATAGGGAAACCTTGCTGAAAGGGGTTAACAAAGACACTAATCCCCCCAGGGCAAGAGGACAGAAAGAAGGCTCAAGAGTCAGAGGCAACACCAGTGTTCGGTGTTTATGGCTTTGGGTAAAGCTTTCCATCACAAATGCAAGGCAGATGAATTATTCAGCAAATCTTATTACTCCATGTGGATAAACCTTACATGCAAGTTAACAAGTCTGGAGAGCTGGGGGAAAAGATCCTGCTGAAAGGATATTGTAGGATCAGAACACTCTGCAGTTCATGAGATATTAAGGGGAGGGGGAATTCACACACTCAGCTTTGCATACTCAATCCCCTGCCCTAACATGATCATATGCTTGAAATATGAAGAATAACGATAATACAATATGCTCTGTCTTCCTGCACCCGGCATCTTTGGAAAAGATGAAGCGCTGAGAGTCATGAGGAGCCCACCCTCATTAATATGAATTCAGGAACTCTTCTCCAATCATTAAACAGAGAAGTAGAGGAGATGCCATTAGGGAATGTGTAGTTCAGGGTAGCATCAAGGACTAATTCTTGAGGGGCAGAATGAAAACTTTGCTGTTGTCATTAGCTTCACCTTAGGGATCACACATTTATTTTAAATGATGTCCTGTAGTTTTATTGCCTACAGAGAACAGTTTTCAGTATAGACGGTTATCCTGTTTTGAAGGGAACATATTACAATAACAATAGATGGCTTGACTGAAATAAATGAGAGAGAGGTTTCAAGTGTTGAAACAGTCTGGGAATAGTGCAATCCCAGTTTTGAGATGACAGCACACATTAAAACTGGGTTGGTATGAGTTTTCTGGGCTGTATGGCCATTTTCCAGAAGCATTCTCTCCTGATGTTTTGCCCACATCTCAGGAGAGAATGCTTCTGGAACATAGTCATACAGCCCGGAAAACTCACACCAACCCAGTAATTCCAGCCATGAAAGCCTTCGACAACACAAATTAAAACTCTTTCAGGTGTGGCATCCCAACACTGCCAACTAACCAAATCACACATGCATTCATAAAACATTCTACTCATTCATAACGAAGTGTGGAAGCCAGCAGAATAAAGAGCCAAGAAGAGACACAAGTCAAAGAAATTGCCTGGAATAAACTGGGTACTACTCATATTAAGGCACTCCCTTCAAACCATCCAACAATTCTGAAGTCAGAAATACCCAAAGTCTGAGGTTTATAATTTTGTTACAAAACCCAAACCAAAGGGCAAGAAAACCATTTGATCACTGTGTCTGAACATCTAAAAGAGGAGGATGGGAGAAAGGGGGGAACCAAATAAATACTTCCATGGGTCCTTTTCCCTAGTGCCCATCTTTAAACGGTGTGATCTGTTGGAGTTTTGGGAATGGGAGGAAGAAGGGCAGGTACTTTCTGCTTCCACTAAATGTATATGCCACCATGTACCCATTTTCAATGAAGGGCAAGGTGAGTATTGTCTATCTTCCTCCTACAAGTCCTGGTGAAATTAGATAGCGGGGTGGACAGAGCAAGGACAATAACAGTCAAACCCAGGGTGTTTTTTTGCTGGCATCAGCACAGAGTGGCATCATGTGGGAGATGTGACTATTAGATCTTGTAGTAGGCTGGAAATTCAGTTCTGTTTGCCTTACAATAAACTGTCTTTTGACAGAGACATGATCTTTGGTTACTAGAGAATCCAAAACACAGATTGAGAGAGCATCTACACCAAGCATGGGCAAACATTGACCCTCCAGATGTTTTGGACTTCAACTCCTTGTGGGCTGTTAGGAATGGTGGGAGTTAAAGTCCAAAACACCTGGAGGACCAACATTTGCCCATTCCTTATCTACACAGTAGAAATTATGTATTTTGACACCATTTAAACTTGAGCCTCCGATGGTGCAATGAGTTAAATCCTTGTGTTGGCAGGACTGCTGACTGACAGGTCAGCGGTTTGAATCCTGGGAGAATGGGTTGAGCTCCCTCTGTCAGCTCCCTATGTGGGGGCATGAGAGAAGCCTCCCAGAAGGATGGTAAAACATCAAAACATCTGGATGTCCCCAGGGCAATGCCCTTGAAGAAGGCCAATTCTCTCACACCAGAAACAACTTGCAGTTCCTCAAGGTGCTCCTGCCACAGGGGGGAAAAGCCCACTTAAACTGCTATGACTGAATGCAATGGGATGATGGGAGTTCTTGTTTGGTGAGGCACCAGCAATCAGAGATCTTGTAAAACTACAACTCCCAGGATTCCATAGCATTTGACTATGGCAATGTCAAACTGCATTAACTCTTTGGTGTAGAGCAGGCATGTGCAAACTTTGACCCTCTAGGTGTTTTGGACTTCAATTCCCACCATTCCTAACAGCCTCAGGCCCCTTCCTTTCCCCCCTCAGCTGCATATGTGGCTGAGGGGGAAAAGGAAAGGGCCTGAGGCTGTTAGGAATGGTGGGAGCTGAAGTCCAAAACACCTAGAGGGTCGGAAAGGGCCTGAGGCTGTTAGGAATGGTGGGAGTTGAAGTCCAAAACACCTGGAGGGTCGTAGTTTACTCATACTGGTGTAGATGCATCCTGAGTTCAATGATACATGCCTAGAGTTAGATTCTGAATGGAAGATGACACTCCCATCCCTAAGCCTTCAGAAAGCCCTGATGATTCATAACTGTGGCAACAGCAGACATGGGCAAACTTCGGCCCTCCAGAGGTTTTGGATTCCAACTCCCACCATTCCTAACAACCTACTGGAGGGCCGAAGTTTGCCACATGCCTGGGCTACAGCCTCAAGCCTTCAGCATCCGCTGACGGTTCATAACGGTGGCTACAGAAGGCATGAACAAGCTTTGGCCCTCCAGAGGTTTTGGACTCCAACTCCCACAATTCCTAACAGCCTACCGGAGGGCCGAAGTTTGCCCATGCCTGGGCGACATTCTCAAGCCTATCTTCAGCATCCCCTGACGGTTCATAACGGTGGCGACAGTCTCACCTTCACAGGCATCACTCACACGCAGGAATCCGGGGCAGAAACACAAATGCAAAACAGGCAAGAAGCAAGAAGGAAGGCAGGAAAAGTTGGCCGATGGCCCCCTACCTGAGGATGGCCGTGTCTCCCTGCCTCACGGTGATGTTGTCGGTGCCTCGGTTATAATCCACGCTGCGGACCGGCAGCCCTGTTGGGAGAAGGCAGAGCAATCTCAGTAGGACCCACGGGAACGGCCTCCGCTCGGGCTGAGCCCTTCCCACCATGGCTGGCCAGCGATGGAGCCGGACGGAGGAGAAAGAGGAGGAGGAGGAGGCTGGGGTGGGCGCTTTCCCTCCGCCGCGCTCCCCAGCTCCCGGGTCTCGTCCTCCCTCTCAATCGCTCTCTCTCTCTCTCTCTCTCTCTCTCTCTCTCTCAAAGTCTGTTCCCTTTCGCGTTGTTGCCCTTGCTGTTCTTGTTGTGGTCGTTCGGAAGAGAGACCCCCTGCTCCTCTCGCTGCTAGCAATCCGGACTGAGCTCACAAAACCACGAAGAGAGAGAAGAAGAGGAGGAAAAAAGAGAAGGGAGAGGAAGGGATGGAAAAGGGAAGGAGGAGGAGGAGGAGGAGGAGGCGGGCAGCCAAGAAGCCCAGAAGTCCGAAAGAGCTCAGAGGCAGCAAGCCAGTCTCCCTCAAAAGGCGGCGAAGGACTTTGCCCGCCTCCTCTCTCGCTCTCTCGCTCTCTCTTTCTCCCTCTCTCTGTCTCTGTCTCCCGCTTGCGCGGCTGCTCTTGCTCCTGCTCCTGCTCGGGCTGAGCGGGCTCTGAAGCCTCGGCTCCCTTCCTAACCCACTTTCCCAGGCGGAGGGGAGGAGGAGGGAGAGCGGGAGAAGGAGCGGAGGAAGGAAGGGAGGAAGGGGAGCGGGCGGGTGGGCGAGCGGCTCGGCCTCGGAGGAGGAGGAGGAGGAGAGAGAGGGTCTCCTCAGCTCAGGCTGCCTCTTGGGGAAGGACCCCTTCCCTCACGCGCTCCCGCCTCCCTCCTCCCCTTCCCGGGCTCTCCCTCAGGCTCCCTCATTCCCAAATGCCCCCTCTAACTGATCCAAGCTCCCTAAGGTTGTCACGACAACGGCTTCATTGGACGCCTCCGGCCGGTGCCCTCCCCTTACCCACCCCAAAACAGTAATCAAAAAAGGAGGGAAAGTGGCGGGGAGGGTCCTTTCTCGGCCCCCTCCACCAGCCTGCGCGCAGTACATATGCTCAATTGCAGGTCTGGACCCCTTCGCCCTTTCTCTCCTCCCTTTATGCCACACAGAGCCCTTCCACACAGCCATGTAACTCGGAATATCAAGGCAGAAAATCCCACAATATCTGCTATGAACCGGGTGATCTGAGTCCACACTGAGATAATCATAGAATCATAGAATCAAAGAGTTGGAAGAGACCTCATGGGCCATCCAGTCCAACCCCCTGCCAAGAAGCAGGAATATTGCATTCAAATCACCCCTGACAGATGGCCATCCAGCCTCTGTTTAAAAGCTTCCGAAGAAGGAGCCTCCACCACACTCCGGGGCAGAGAGTTCCACTGCTGAATGGCTCTCACAGTCAGGAAGTTCTTCCTCGTGTTCAGATGGAATCTCCTATCTTGTAGTTTGAAGCCATTGTTTCGGTCCTAGTCTCCAGGGAAGCAGAAAACAAGCTTGCTCCCTCCTCCCTGTGGCTTCCTCTCACATATTTATACATGGCTATCATATCTCCTCTCAGCCTTCTCTTCTTCAGGCTAAACATGCCCAGCCCCTTAAGCTGTATGTGGTAATATACAGCTTAATGGTGTAACATTAGAAATTCTTGACCATTTCCACTACCTTGGCAGCCACCTCACCACAAAAGTCAACATTGACACTAAAATACAACACCGCCTGAGCTCTGGGAGTGCAGCATTTTTACAAATGAAGCAGAGAGTGTTTGAGGACTAGGACATCCACAGGGATACCAAGGTGCTTGTTTATAAAGCTATTGTCCCCCCAACCCTGCTATATGCCTGCGAAACATGGACTGTCTACAGACATCACATGCAACTCCCACAAGAAACCTCCCACAAGAATGGTAAAACATCAAAAAAAATCCAGGCATCCCCTCGGCAACGTCCTTGCAGACGGCCAATTCTCTCACACCAGAAGTGGGCTTGGACTTTCTCAAGTTGCTCCTGACACAGAAAAAAAAATCTGAGTGTGGACTCAGGAAATCCCGCATTATCTGAGTATGGACTCATATAACCCAGATCAAAGCAGATATTGTGGGATTTTCTGACTTGCTAATCTGGTATAGAGGGCTGTGTGGAAGGGCCCTCATAATATCAAGGCAGGAAATCCCACAATATCTGCTTTGACCTGGGGGTCCTTCCACACAGCCCTATAACCCAGAATATCAAGGCAGAAAATCCCACAATATCTACTTTGAACTGGGTTATCTCAGTCCACATTGCCATATATTCCAGTTCAAAGCAGATAGTGTGGGATTTTATTCAACTGTGTGAAAGGGGCCTCAGATAACCTAATTCAAAATTGATATTGTGGATTATTCTGCCTTGATATTCTGGGTTATGTCTGTGTGGAAGGGCCCTCAGGCAGTTAGAAAAAAAGGAGGGAAACCAGAGAGGAAGGGACAATGGAACAGAACTTTCTTTTTTGGCCACCTCCAACCCTCATCAGTCTAAATAGCTGCTGAGGGGGGAAAGGAAAGGACCCGAGGCTCTTAGGGATGGTGGGAGTTGAAGTCCAAGACACCTGGAGGGCACAAATTTGCCCATGCCTGGTGTATAGACTGCTGAGGGCTTCACAGGTTAAGTTGATCTTTCACAATTGCCACACTCAGGGAGCTCATATGGTTTCCAAAACTTTTCCATGGTGCATGGTGACTGAAGGAGCTAGCTGACAGCTTGGCAAACCTACCAGCCAATTAACAACGGTTTGCCTGTGCCAAGCTGGCAGGCCCTGCCAGAAGGGTAGGAGTTAGGTCAAGATAACAGGGTCCATAAAAGAAAAGAGGGCATAATGTGAGCAAAGTGGGAAAGTGGCAACGATGATAGCACTTTGATTGTGCTTTTCCTGCATGGCAGGGGTTGGGCTAGATGGTCGTCTCTTCCAACTCTATGATTCTGTGATAGGATTTATCAACTGAGTGTTTATACTGAAAAAGTGTGGAGGGGGAGGGGGCACTTTATTGGCCTTGACACATTTATCAATACTCAAATGCACACAAACTCCTATTTGTATGACTCATCAACTGGGGAAAAATTGATCTCACATGTGAGAACCACAAATAAGCTGCATGCAATCAAGAAACTGAAACACTGGTATTTCACATAGGGTAAACTCTAGATATCCATTCTACTTGAGGTTTTACCAAGGGAAGGGTTCATTAGGACTTTCATCCTATGAAATTGACTCTTCATTTGCTCAACTTTGGTAATAGTCATGAATTGTTTAATTCGTACGTGCAGTGCATCATGTAACAGCTCAGAAATGTATACATGTGACTCAGAATGATGTAGCATACAGAGGCAACAGAATTCAGTACTGTACTATGTTAGACTGTAAATGGGTGATCTTCAATAGCAGATTAGTCTACGAAACAAACTTTTCAGCTCTTTCATCAGAGAGGAAGACGTTGAGCATTAGCGCTCCTCACAGTGTGTGCATAACATATACCTGTTTTAATGTAGGGCAATATTCAGAAATATGATCCATTCATCTGCAGCCTGAACTAGTACAGTATAGAACACTGCTGTCTTGTCTTACTATTTCATTCTGTGTAATGTGTACTATGGAGCCCCCAGTGGTGCAGTGGGTTAAACCACTGAGCTGCTGAACTTGCTGACCAAAGGTCAGTGGGTTGAATCCAGGGAGCAGGCTGAGCTCCTGCTGTTAGCCCCAGCTTCTGCCAACCTAGCAGTTCAAAAACATACAAATGTGAGTAGATCAATAGGTACCACTCCAGAAGATAATGGTGCTCCATGCAGTCATGCTGGCCATATGACCTTGAGGGCATCTACAGACAACACCGTTTCTTTGGCTTATAAATGGAGAGTCAGACATGAATAGACTTAATGTCAAGGGGAAACCTATATCTATATAATGTGTACTACGGTGGTACAGCTATTTTACAGATTGGAGAACCACAATGCCTGATTTTTACTTCATATTTTTTATTGTTTCTGCCTTCATGGAGAGCAATACTGTGATAATTTTTTTTTTTGGGGGGGGGATAGGATGTTAAGCTTACAGTCCCACAACCATGCCCCAATGGTGTTCCAAAATACAGGCAGCTCTGTTGACTCATGCCAACAAAGCAGTTTGAGCAGGTATTTGTACTTAGCATCTTTTGTAAACATTTTTTGTAAATTTTGCTAATAGGCCCCCCCTACTTTATCACCCACCTACTGAAATACAGAAGGAACATAAAGCCAAATGACAAATTATGTCATTATCCGTAATAATCAAAAACGCCTTGTGCTTCAACTTCGTAAGCCATTGCTTTTCTACAACATTACAAAACCCCTCACGCTCCCTAGAAACTGATACCCTCTTACTTATTAAATTGCTATCTTACTGCACTCTCACCTTTTAACTACATCCCAAACTAGCTTGCACCGTTTTGGCACTTTCTTTCCCCAGATCCCAGTCCCGCTGTTCTGGCTTTCCTTGTGTTCAGCTCAGTTGTTCTTTATGCTGCCATTAATAAGCACCAGAAAAATCTTCCTGAAATGTAATCACAAGGCTATCTCTATATTTGAATACCTTCCTTTATTGTAATGTCTTCAAAGTTTAATGAAGGGGGGAAATTACCTAAGAAATGAGAAAAGGGAAAGGAGATGGTAGAAGGCAAAAACATAAAAAGGGGAGGGAGGGGAATTCGGGAAATTTCTTTAAAAAAAGAAATCACTAAATATTTGACAGAGAAGGCTGAAATGGTTAGTTCCTTTGATGAAGATGGGAACATATTTCTGGTCAATTAGCATTTCAGGCTCAGATATTGCTCCTTTCTTCCTCTTGTATTTTCCTTTCCCAGATAAAACGGTCTCTGCCGCACCTTCAGACCAGCCCTTCCTTTGGCGCTCACTGTCTTTCTTCTGTGCCCCCTGGTCTGCAAGGGTCTAATTGGAGTGGAGACAATGATAGCATTGAGTTGCCTGAAGTGTGAATGCTTAGTCTGTCCTCCCCAAATGCCAGCACCGGCAGCTGAGCCCCAGATCCTTGTAGCAGCTTCGCCAACTTGACCCACAGTGCATTCACAGAGCAGCTCATGCACCATCGGCATCGCTGTGCTAGGAGGGAGTTTAATTAAGCAATGAAGCGGGGGAGGAGGGAAGGGCAGCCTGTGATGATGGCTCAATCAGTCTTGACAGCCTCCTTCTTTCCTTATACTGCTCACATATATGAGGCAGCCATGCTGTGTTAAGAGGGTGTCAGTGCCTGGAAGTGGACTATAACCAACGTTACTGCATGTGCTGGTAGAAAGGATTAATGTGGAAAGTGGCTGTTTCAGGCGCCTTCCTCACAGCTGTATAAAATCCACATTGAACTGGATTATATGGCAGTGTAGATTCGGATAATCCAGTTCAAAGCAAATATTGTGGACTGTCTGCCTTGATGTTCTGGGTTATATGGCTGTGTGGAAGGGTCCCAAATTCCTAAACATCCAAATTCCACTCCAGCTTCCAGATGCTGAAGACATTTAGAGCTCTGAATTTTTACAAAAACTAACATGCAGATATGCATTATATGCTTAGTTATAACCCAACAATAGTCTGATGTGACTAGATTCCCCCTTTCCCATTTAGCAGTCCTATGGAATTAGCCAAGCTGGCCCAGGGTTAATCAATGCATTTCATGGCTTGATGA